TGCTAAGCATCCTATAATGCACATATATTTTTTCCTATGCCTACAATATTTTTGCAGTTATTTAGGCTGAAGTATAAATGCTTTATATTTTATAGTTATAAATGTATAGCTTACACTTTAAAGTATAAATTGTATATATTTATGCTTTAATGGATATACTTTACACCCTATTTTTAAAATTTTAACATATCGTAAATGCTTTCCTATGACAATAAAAACAATCCTTAAGCCTGGGCACAGTGGTTCATGCCTATAATCCCAGCACTTTGGGAGGCTGAGGTGGGTGAATCGTTTGAGTGCAGGAGTTTAAGACCAGCCTGACCAACATAGCGAGACCCCATTCTCCATAAAATAAATAAATTTTAAAACTCCTTAAACATTTTCAGCAATTACATAATATTTTGTTACATTGATACTCCCTAACTTCACCTTTCCCTATTTATATATTTAGTTCTTTCCATATTCTAAATTATTTTTCTGCCTTTTGTTGAACTTATTTTTTATGTTTTAAATACATAGAGATGGAGTCTCACTATGTTGCCCAGGCTGGTCTCAAACTCCTGGGCTCAAGTGATTCTCCTGCCTCAGCCTCCCAAAGTGCTGGGATTACAGGCATGAGCCACCATGGCCAGCCCTTTTGTTGAATTTAATGGAATGTTTTTAATAGTTGGTTATTAGCTATACTTATTAGTTATTGCTTCTTTAGTAGCCTCTCTGAGAGTTATTTTATACATCTTTAACTTACCACAGTCTACCTTCAATTAATAGTATGCCACCTCGAGTGTAACATAAGAACTTTGTAACAGTACAACCCTAGAACATTTCACTTTATGCTTTTGTTGTCATAGATATGCTACAAAATCCCATAATACATTGCTATTATTTTTGCTTTAGACAGTCAAATATCACTTTTAAAAGATTAAAAATAAAAATAAAAAATAAATATTTTAAAAGATGAAAAATAATGGCGGGACATGCCTATAATCCTAGTACTTTGGGAGGCCAAGGTAGGAGGATTGCTTAAGCCCAGGGATTCAAGGCCAGCCTGGGCAACATAGAGAGACCCCCATCTTTACAAAAAAAATTTAAAATTAGCCAAGTGTGGTAGCACATGCCTGTGGTTTCAGCTTCTCAGGAGACTGAGGTGGGAGAATTGCATGAGCCTGGGAAGTAGAGACTACAGTAAGGAGTGATCACAGCACTGTACCCTAGCCTGGGCAATATCTCAAGACTCTGTCTCAGAAAATAAAAACAAACAGCTGAGATTGCACCAGTGCACTCCAGCCTCGGTGACAGAATGAGACTCTGCCTCAAAAAATCATAATAATAATAATAATAATAAAAAAAGATTTAAAATAAGAGTGTATCTTATATTTATCCATATATTTTTCTGATGCCCTTCATTCCATTGAATAGATCAAAGTTTCAATATATATCATTTTCCTTCTGTTGAACTTTTAAAGGTATTTCTTCTAGTGCAGTGATTAATTCTTTCAGTTTTTTTTTTTTTTTTTTT